GTACCAATTTTACGAATATTGCGAGACTCAATGGGGACATTGACCGGACTGTCCGGGGAGTATGTGACATTCGACCAGAATGGACGAGAAGGCAGATTCGAAATTTTAGCAGCTAACCTTCCGAATTAGCAGTTTTGAAGGATTAGCAGTGTTATTGGAACGATTAGCCAAACTGTGAAGGCTAGAATATTCTGGTGTTTCAATTTTTTAAATTTTCGAAGTATGACGTCATATTTCTGAGAAACGTCAGAAACGGCCATTTTGGCAGAAAAACTGAAATGAAACACAACAACAACAGTAGTTGCGACGATAACAACGAAAAAACTTAGAATCGGAATTAGAGACGAGCAGAAATAGCAGAGACCGTTCCGAGTTGCAACTATTGTGTCGCTACAATAGTTGCAAGGCCGTTGCGATCAACGGTGAAGGGTAGAAGGCAGGCTTCCGGAAAGAAAATAGAGACCTTACTTCCCCGGATTCAAGAATCCGGATGGGTCTCTGGACTGAAACTCATAGCATTTTATACAAATTTTTAGCTTCCCTATTATGTCCTGAATTGAATTTAATTAACATCTGAATTCATTTTGCTAGGATGCGAAGCTAGGAGTTGGGGGAAAGGGTTGATCCATCTTCGATGGAGATGATGATAATCATCTACTGAACAAAAACAATAGTAATATGATAAATAAGTAGTAGACCTCTTTTTAGGAATGACCTCGTGGTCTGGCGATACTGAGACCCAGCCATGAGCTCATTATTTTTGCATGTAATTAAGTTAATTGGAGCGCTCTGATCGAAGCCGGAAAGGGTAACGTTTTTGTCGACCTGATGTTAGAAAGACTACCAAAAGAACTGGCTTTGACAGAGACGGTGAAAAACATGTGTAGCTGTGTTTAGAAGCTGGCCAGTCGTTTTAGAGCCTAGCTTTATTTTCCGTCGATATGTGCTTCCGGGCGAATGTTACAAACATCGGTCGGTCAAGCCAATATAGAAATCAATACTAAATAGGCCAGAGAAACAATTGTAAACTTTGCTCTAGATGCGGATGAAACCATAATATCTCTATATGTGAAAAGTTTGTACACTAATTTTCACCTGAAGGAAGCAATTGAAATTGCCTTACACAAGCTGTACAGCCAGTAGTGTCCTCCTAAATTCAAAGAGCAACCAGGAAAAGGTTTTTGAATATGGCGGTCAGTAAAGTGTGTTTCAACTGTAATGATTCATGGTATGTGCAAGTTGATAGTCTAGCAATGGGCGCTTCCCTCGCTGTGATTCTTACAAACCTGAGGCTGAAAGAGCACGAGTTTGCTCTAAGAAAACAAATACCGGTGGGACCTGAGATACAACCAATGAAGGAAAAAAACGGTTTGTGCCCATTTTGCTACAGGAAAAATACATATATATCAAAGGGGGTTGAATGCGAGTTGCCGAAACTGGGAAGAATATCCGCTGATATATACGCATCAAAAACCGAGACAGTCTGGTTCTGTGAAAGCTGCTGCTGCGCTAAAAACCAGGAGAAGGATACTCCACAAGTAAAATTTTTCCTCAGATGTGTGGATGACATTGTTAGAACAGTCAAAGGTGAGCCGAGTTGTGTTCTCGATGCGCCAATCTCTTCATCCAAGTCTGCAGTTCACTATAGAGAAAACTAAATCAGAGTGGAAATTGCCCTTCCTGGCTGTGAACATAAATGTATCGCAGTATAGGGGTGTAACCTGCACTTGGTATCAAAAACCAACAGATACTGAACTAGTAGAAGCGTGGTGTTATCCAAGGCACTGTACCAAGAGTTTTTAGGAGGAAATATAACTGCAAAATCATCGATAGTAAGGGCAAGCCCCCGGATATTGAGAAATGTTTTTCAACTCAACCACCAAAAGATGTGAAGCCTCAAATGCTGAAGGTGCAAATTAGAGGTAACGAAAGCCATAATTTTGGGAAGCAGCTTACAAAATTTAACCAACATTCGAATGGGTTTTAATCACAAGAAAACTAGAACATTGTTTACCATCGCTGAAGTCAGCATTTTCTAATGACCACAAGTCAAGAGTGGTTTTTAATTTGTCATGTGGTGGATGTACTTCCATCTATTTTGGTTAAATTGTTCAATATTTCACCACTAGAATTGAATAACATAAGAATGCAGACTCACTGGTAGGCCTATACATTCAGCAAGGCAGTCTTGAGGGAAGTAGCGCAGCTATTAGTTGGAAAATTATGGATAGGTCGAACAGGCAAACAAAATTGTTAACATTAGAGAAAATACAAATCAGAAAAGAGAAACCAATCGTGCAGACGACCGATGAGTTTAGGCGCAAGGATTTATCAATGAAAAATTAGTCCCAAAATATTTTTGGTTTTTTGTTTAAAAAACAAACCTTAGCCTATTCAATATCTTTTCAAACATGCAACTAATAAAAAAAAATACTTCGAAGTCAGCCAAAAACAGACTCTCACAGACAAGGAGGAAGACATTATTGAAATGGAAGGAACGGGATCAAGCGGATGGTACTTCATCACAATGTTAGTGTTGTTTTGTTTGTTCTTTGCTTTATGCCTCGTGAGGTTCATTCCTCGTGGCCTGCAAAGTAATGAACTCATTAATTCTCTCCCCACCTGTTTTACGATGGATACTGAAGAATAAATTTTCATGGAAACTGTTGCTAGAATATCCTAAATTTTGTCTTAAGCTAAATAGTTCTCATAGACTTAAGTTTCTGAGAAAATGATAACAAAACGATATAATATCGGACTTTTGAAGTTCCGGGTGCAGGGAAACCGGGTTTTTTCGGACCAAGATGTTCATTGTTTTCAGCTAAAGCTACTCAGAACTGAAATAAACAAGACTATAATTGACAAGAAGAATATTAGCGACAAGTTAGGTAATGCGAGAGTGGTAGTGCACGGGGATTAATGAAAAATTTGGTCGCGTTTTTGCACTACATTTTAAAAATGAACTGAAAGCATTCAAGCACAGTGAATGAAACCCACAAAAATAGAATGAAAATTTTTCAGTAAGACAATATGGACCGCTAGGCGAAGAGGGTGACAAATCAGTATTAATTTAGAGGGCATTGATTTACCAAGGTGGGTGCAAGAAAATTCATCACCTGGACCAAAACAATCGGTTCGGGATAAACTCAAAGGATTTTACTTTTTGGCTGATGTGGATACTTTTATTCCAATTGAAAAATCAGAACGTAACAGGAGATTCGTTGTGTGAGACTGAAGCGGCGGCGAAAACTTCTGTAAAGCGAGTGAAACAGGTGAATCAGACACCATCTGGTGGAGGAATAGAAAAGGCTAGAATATATCTTAAAAACAACGATCTTTTAGCAGTGCTATTTGATAAAAGGGTTGGGATTTGTACCAGTAAAAAAGACCAATACGAAGCCAAACTGTGAGATCTTTTACAGTCAGACCAATTTAGACAAACGACTAACACTGATGGTTCGTTGATATTAAAAAATGAGAATGACATTAACAAAAAGTTGTTCATTCTGAAAAATAGCAATGACATAAGTGAGCATCTATAGACCAAACTGAGGTCAACAGTTAATCAACCGGTCCGTCTGTACGGCTTAGCAAAAGTACCCAAGAAAGACATACCACTGCGCCTCATCTCTGCGTGGATGTTCATAAGAGAGCTTGATTAAAATTTTGGTCAAAGTTTTCGATAAAATTGAGGGAGTGAACATAAAATCAAACACTCAAGAAGCATGAGAGGTTATTGAGAAGGTTATATTAGAATCTGATGAGAACATAATTTCTTTAGATGTTAGAACTTTGTTCATTAATGTTCCACTCAAAGAGGCTATCAACATTGCACTTAGAAAACTTTACGAGTAAGAAAAACCTGAAGACATTGCACGGAGTAGTTTGAAGAGATTGCTAAGCCTTGCTGTCAAGTACACTTTAAGTGCACTGATATGTGGTATATACAGAAGGATGGTTTGGTAATGGGAGCCTCTCCTGTAGTCATACTGGCAAATTTGTGGATGAAAGAGTTCGAACCTGTTTTGAGGAAAAAAAATCCCAAATTTTGCAAGCCAATTGATGATCTAAATGGCATATGTCCAGAATTTAGGAAAAAACAACGTATAGACAGAAATGTCTTGAATGTGAAAATTTTCTACATTCGTTCCATCAAAAAAGTGGTAAGCTTCAAGAAATGGAATATAGAAATACAGCTAATATTGTTTGATTTTGCTTGGCATGCTGTGAGTTAAGAGAAAGAGACCAACACTCAGAGGAAATAAAACTCTTCCGGAGATATGTAGATGATATCGTGAGAAGTGTGACAGGAGATCCAGAAGAGTTGTTAAACACTGCAAATCAAGAAAAGGACCATTAAAAAATCATTCAAAGAAAGAGCGATTCAGCAAGTGAATTTAAATTTACCAGCTATTGCAATATGAAATTTGAGTTGAACTTGACTTCCTGGCATTGAACATGCAAGGGATTTTAAATATCCTATCCTTTTACCTTATACATAAACTCGTCGTGTGTTTTCGGTTATATCCACCCTTAAATAATAAAAACTGAAATCAAAATTATTTGTGACAAACTCGAAAATGCATGATATTAAAATGAGACTGGTGAAAACAAAACATTTATACCTAATTTAGCCTCAAACTGTTTTTTTTTCTACTTTTTTTTGTCGTTTCCTGCACATGAGTTTTATAAAAAGAATGTCAAATTCATTAATGATTGTCATTTACTTCGCTTTTTTCTAGCTTGATTCAACGCTTGGGATATCAGCCCTGCCTGAATAATTAAAATCAGTCAAATTTTGAAATAAAATTTTTGATTTCAGTTTTCAATCATTTAGGGGGATGTGGTGTAACCGAAAAGAGCCCCCTTCTTTCTGCGCTATTTTCAGATACCAATGAACTCTAAAATACGATCGCGCTTCCAAATCTTATTACGTTTCTGCGTTTCTGTTTCTTTTTACAAAAAAGACAGTTGCATATATGCAGTACGTTTAAAACAACTGCATGTTTAATGTGCACCGTTAAAAAAAGCGTGTATCAATGTAATTTTAACCATGCGCAGAGATGATTCTGTAGGTTAATATACCATTTTGCATGTTTAAAAATGCCTCCAAAAAAGCCGCCAGTTAAACCGGTGCCAGCCAAACCCAAAGTCACGCCTACCCAGAAACCAGCAGCAAAATCGACAACTAAAAGTGAGCAACAATTTTTTTGCTTATTTTTTTCCAGACAAAAATGAAATAAAATTGCGAATGCTTTAACTGACATTTGAGATTTCGTTTGGTTGTAAATGTAGTAACTTTTACAATGAATGGAATCTAATTTGCTCACAATTTATTGTTCCGACTTTCGATCCGAAAGTAACGGAATATTTGTGCTCGGGGTGGGTTTTTTTTTCTTCAGACAAAATTCGACTTTTCAACTAGCCATTTTTGACGGAATTTTTTTATATCATTCGAAAGGTATTGTTGTCCTGAGCTCAAATTTGAAAAGATATTTCACCTGTGAGCGTTTTTCGTAAAGTTACGGGGGTTTAAAGATTACCATTTTGGCCAATTTGAGACAATTAACGCGCGATATATTTCGCGTTATTAACGCGTAAGCGGAGAGTTAATCCGTCTTAGAAATCGTTCCAAATTGGTTAAAAGAAGCTTATTCGCCAAAATTGGTTTGTTACAAGGAGCAAAGTCTATCCTTTTGTACTTTGTATGGCGTGTGGGGGGATGGTTTTCATAAAAAATTTCAAATTTTAGAAAAATTTTTTTTTTCATTTTATTTTTTCTTACATTTAATTTTTTAATGTTATCACAGCTCCATAAACCTTAAAAGGCAGTCGGAACATTCAGGGCTTCGCCCTGATACGAGCAGTCTTGTTATTATTATCACATTTAATAAGTTGCATCCAAACTTGATCGAACAAGATTTCACAAGGGTTGGTGATAAATTAAACGTTCTGTTTCTAGTTGGTTTTGTCGCTGAAATTAAAATGGTGCATTTAGGTTTTCTAAACGGAAGTAAGACCTTGTTAACATGCCTCCACCTAAAACGTTTTGGGGATGTCAACTTGGTTCTAAGTTGGAATTGTCAACCAACCAGATTCAAAGAGTTATAAACACAGAATTAAGCCATTTTAATCCAAATTAAAAGATTAATCGAGGCTCTTATAGTTCTGGTCTATTAAGTGGTACGATGTTATCTTGATCGTGATGTTAATGATAAACTGCATGTAGATAGAACCTTGTGCAACTTCCGTAAAAGTTTCATTTCATGTAATAATCTTCTTCCTTTTTTAGATCAGACTGGACCCAAAAGCCAACAGTCTAAACCAGCACAGGTCAACAACAAACAGCAGAGTAAAGCTGCTCCTGAGAACAATGAAGTCACGAAAATAGCTGAAGTGAAAAAATGGACCAAAGAAGACGAGGCTGCCAGGTAATTTAATCTGCATCTGCAACGGCTATGATCAATAAAAAATGTAACCACATTCCTCAAAAAATTGTTGTCGCATTTCTCAAAAGAAGCACAGTATAAAAATTGCTAAAAGTGTGCATAATTAGTATTCTCTGCCAGTTCGAAAATTTTGAACAATCAAAGTTATAAGAATATCCTAATTTTATAAACGCCTCTTTAATTTCTATTTCTTTGTAGGTCCATTTCTTTGTTTGGTTAGATTAATTGGTAAGACCAATTTATACTAAGAGAAAAAAAGTTAAACAAACAATCAATTTTCAAAACTAAAAGCAATTCCTTGAAACCTTGTGATCATAAAATTGTTTCAATCCTTGTGTGAAAACAAAACGATTGAAACATAGTTTTGACTGACTTATGAACTGAAACAGAAAAAAAATGAAATCTGACACTAGTGGACAAAATTAAGCGCAAATTCGGGTTTTTACTCTCTCAATTGCCTGTTTTCAATGTCGATTTTTGACAACATTTACTTCGATTTCCAGGAAAATTTTTACGTAGGCCAAGAGAAAGCCATCAGAGCTACCAAGTATGATTCTATCAATATTTGGTTTCAAGGACTACCAATGTAATCCGGATCTGAAAATGCTAATTTTCTTCATCTGCACTAAGTTTATCATCGTAGTGAGCTCTTTCTCGAATAAGCGATGTAAAAAAAATTTTCATGCGACGTGAAAGATTGTCAGCGTTACAGTTGAAATAATTAGTAAGAAAATTTACCTAAATTGGCTGTTACTTATTTTTAACGCGGATTGATAAACCTAGTGCTGATGAGGAAAAATGGCGTTTTCAGATTCGGATTACATAGGTAAGTCTTTGAAACCAGATATTGATAGATTCGCAGATGGTAGCGTTGATGATTTTTTCTCGGCCTATGTTAATTTTTTCCTGAAAATCGAAGTATATGTTGTCGAAAAAAGATTATTGAAAACAGGCCATTTGAAGAGTAGAAATCTGAATTTGCATTTCATTTTGTCATTCAGTGTACCAAAAAAAACTTCGTATTTTTTGATCCGAAAAAAAACAGTCGGTATTGAAAATTTTCTTTCATTCTTTGAGAGATACAACTTCACATCACGTCTTTTTGCTCGGCTTGTGCAAAATTGCAGAAAATTGTGCAAAACTGCAGAAAAAGTTTCAAAAAGGGCTGTGAAAAGTGAGCTTATTTTTTGTTGTTTTTTAGATTTCTCAAATTTTTTGTGACTTGATTTGATGAAAACGAGGTATATCACTATTTAGGAGTAAAAACTAATATAGCATTAAGCAATTTGTTTTGTCTTTTCAAAAACAATCTCTCAACTTTTGTTTTTAAATACTCCAGTTGCGTTACTTTTTTTTCTCCAGTATATTTTAGAAACTTTCAATCAATTTATGGGATTTGAAAACTTTCAACCTTGTCTTTGCCGGGATCTCCTCTTCCTAGTTTTTTTTGGTTTGGACTAGGGAAAGTTGGGTTTTTTTAATTTTTAATAACTAAATTGAAAAACTTTGTACCGACGAGGTATTTCATCATTTGGAGGCCAAACTTTGTATCTTAGAATTGTAAGAGGATTCTGCAAAAAGAATCAGCAACTTTGCTAGTTTTCTTTGATCTTCTTTGCTCCAAAAACTTGATTTTCAGGAAACCGTAACAAATTTTTTGTGAATCCGGAAGAGTTTCCGAAATTCACATTTAAATAGTAATTTATGGGTATAATAGAATTACATTGTTGTAAAATCAACAAATAGAGGCGGATTCAGCCAAAAAAGTAAACTGAAATCTCAAAATGTAGGAGGAAAAGGCAAAATGGAAAGTGAATCCGCAAAATGTAACTGCATTATGTTTGCGGAGTCCACTAACAGTTTGCAGAATCCGCTAACATTTACGCGAAAAACCTCAATCGCTGGTTGCGCATTCCACGGCAAAATTAGTGTGCCGACAAAATTTACATATTTCAGCGCGAAATCCACAAAAGTTTTTAGTTCACGGAATCCGTATACATTTTGGGACAAGTTTAAAAAATTGTCTCTGGTTTCCAGTAACTTAAAGACAACCAAGTGTGCGCTTATCCGGTGCTCAGTTAGGCCTCGTAATGATAATTTAATCAAAATTGTATCCACTTGTTTGTTGAATTTACTGTCTTTTGATTTTTAATTCAAAGCTATGTAACTTTCGTCTACTGCAGTCACACATGAGGCTTAAGAAAAATAGGCCCTATAACCATCGGCTCAAGAGTCAGGGACACTATCTCTTGTGTTTTTCTACCTCAAGAACGGTCGGAGCCAATTCGGTTCGCTTGCGACATGAGACTAGAACCCGTTACAGCTTAAAGGCCACTACCAAAATACCCCCCCCCCACTCTAGAAGTAAAAACGTCCCCATACTTAGGTCTAGAAATACCCAAAATACATGAACGCCGTTAAAAACCGGGTCGGAACAATCCGCTTAGTTACTTTTTATTGGACAGTGGAACTTTGATCCATTTCAGATGGATCAACCTAAAACTCGCCTTATCTCAACATAACTATCATAAAATGCACTCGAGAAATTTAAATTGAGAACTCACATGTCGATGCGCTTGAGTATGAGGAGTAATTAAAAGATAAGTAGCTCGAAGATTAAATAATATAACTAAATAAGTTTGATGCTAATTAGTTTTAACAACAGAAGTAAGTTCTGTCTCAAGAATCAAAGTTTCTGCATGAACCATCGGGACACTTGAGTTGTCCTCTCTTCCATTGAATGTTCACTCTGTTCCGTTCGAATAATCGTCCTTTCTCAAGTCTGTGTTCTATTCTCCTGTTTTCGGGATAAGACAGCTCTACTCTCTTATTATTTTGTGTCGAGAAATTGCGAATAGCAATTTCCTGCCTTTTTTTTGAGTAGTTTCCCGCAATTGTTAATTCGGTCGTTCTGATTTTTCACTTTTTGTTTTCAGTTGGTTCGAGAAAACTGAGCATGACAGGCTCCATTCGAAATTTTTAAAATTAAAACTTCACTCCAAAATTACGTGTTTCTCAAGGTCAAACCTCCAGACATGACCGACTGGCACATACTCCCCGGACTCGAGATCGATGTCCTCATCTTGTGTTGTCATCTGCCAGTGAGTCCCAGAGAAGCGAGTGTTGCTCAAGATACAGTGCCAGTGGTCATTTACAGAAGTTTGCATCGGACTTAAGTTTATCTACCTTCCAAAATTCACAACCATATAAAATTTTCACACTATCGCTAAACAGCAATCAAAATCTGCACACACCTGCACCCATGAATCCCCGCTTTTTAAGCTGGTAATTTTAAAATTTCTTTTGTCCTATTCAGTCAGGAAATTATCATGCATCATTTTGATTTATATAATAGATCTATCATATTCATAACAATATTTTATTCGTCTAAAATTTCTTTTTCGTGAACCCGGATTTCATCCGAGCTCACCCTCGAGCCCCCTCCCTCTCAAGACTCAAGACTCTAGAATTTTCCCTTCGAGCCACCGGCTCACCTCGTGTCCTTCGCCCTCGAGGTACCCGACACCGGTGTTCTTGACACTGTAATTTGTTCCAACAGTGCCTCTTCGTCATCGGAGCTGATCACAATCTCCTCCCAGGCCTTCAGCTGTTCATAGGATCGCATCCACTCCCTCTGATCTTGCAACCTCTTCGATTGATTTGGTAAGCTCTTTACCTTCGGCTCCCGGTTCAAACAGAAGGAATTGTGAAGACTCATGCTTACATTCTTCGCTAGGTCCTCCTCTAGTATCGATTTCCTCGCTCTAGAATTGTCTCTGGATACTCTGCCCACTCTTTTCCACCCCGTCGTGATCGCATTTCGATGGGTTAGCAGAGGTCTCTTGAAGGCATCTGGTCCTATCTCGGCTTGGAATTGTCGATATTCCTTTTGATGTTTCCTCATGTGGTCCTTTGTCACCACATATAACCAGGATGTTAACGTCGCACGAAACCAAGGAAAGAATCTCAGGCGGCTCCATATATGTTTGATCTCCACTGGTATGGCGAATACCTTGCATGCGGTCTCGAACAACTCAAGTCTCCTGCTGTAATCTATCGCATGAATCGACTCAGCTGTTGGCGTTCTCGATTCTCTATACTTCGCTATGTTTTCTTCCATCCATCGTAGAGCCAGCATCGTGCTCACCACCAAGATGGTCACCTTTTGTCGATGCTCCGGTAGTCCCAACGACTTAATTTCTTCTATTTCCCAGATCAGACAGAGATTGGCGCGGTCTGGGTACCACACTGTCTGCGCCAGACAGTGGCATGGACAATCCCCATGCGTGAGGTCGATGCTTCTAAGATTGCGTTCTCCCGAGGCTTCTAGGAGAGGCTCAAGTTCCATCATTTTCTCGTGTATCACGTCGACTTCTTCCGAGCTTGGAGCACCCACTGCGGGTTTCCCCACCACGTTTTGCCTTCCGTGATCAATTGTGTTTTCGCTCTCCAAGCCTAGGAGTTCTTCACCCCTGATTTCACTCAAGTCGTCTCTTTGTTCCTTCGGTACTGCTCCTCGGATCTTCCTCAACAGCTTGTGTGAATGATGCGACATCCGAGCTAGTCTCACGCACTTGGGCACTGAGAAGGCTTTGTCTATCAATACCCTCTGGCTGGACACCTCCACCATTGCCATGTGTAGTGGATAGTGGCTTCCACATAGGTTAGCCAACACTGACCCCACTAAGGATTTCGCATTTAGAGGCAATCCATAGGCTTCGCTCATGGGAAATCCCATCTCCGCCTCGAGTCCAATCTTCCAACTCTTGATGTGCTTCTGGTTCACTTGTAACACTCCGGGCCACGATTCCACGCTCAACGCGGTCACCAGGTGGTGTTCTGACTCTAGCCTCTCCAGTGACTGGAGACTACACATTCTTGAGAAAAATCCCAAGGCTGTCGCTAGGTTCACGGTGGTACTCGCGTAACATTCAGCCACTATCTGTATCTCGCTCTTCTCCCTTTCGGTGATATCCTCAAAC